TCACGACATGAGCTTTGCAGCTACTGGGGAACTGAGGCCAAGGTTACACAGCGAGCCTGGAGGTCAGCATGCCAGCCCTGACTGAGTCGGCTGCCCTCCCAACCCGGGAGGAGGTGGCGGGCAGCTGAGCAAATCTGCATGGTTTCAGGCATCGAACACAGGGAGTAAACTGCAGTCTCCGCAGGAGGATGAAGCCATGAAGCCAGGCAAGCAGCAGGCTGAGGTTGGGACGGGCACATGGTGCCCACCTGCCAGGCTCTGGAGCCTGTCCTGGCGACCTTTCCCCTGCCTGGCTCTGGTGGTTTTCGCATGGGGCTGGTGGTGAAATGTCTGTCTTTTTCTCAGCCCCATGCCCTCTCTGATGGATTCCACAGTGTCCAATCTCTGAAATGTCTTTTGCAGAGATTTCCAAAGCCAGAGTGGAATTTTCTGCCCCTCAATGTGTTCACACTGTTATTAAAAAGAACCAGTAGGTAAGTCTGGGTAGTTATATGTGTGCACTTTAATTATTTTGGGGGATACTTGGGATTGAACCGTTGGCTGTCACACTGAGCTACATCCCCATGCCTTTCCTTTTAAAGGTGTTTTATTTTGAGACAGGTTCTCACTAAGTTACTAGGTTGCCCAGACTGGACTTGAACTTGTGAGCCTCCTACGTCAGCCCCACAGAGTGCCGGGATTGTAGGTGTGTGCCACCATGCCCAACTGATTTTTAATTACTGGCAGGTAAAAAGCAGCAAGAGGGACATGGACTGTAAGTCTCTGCATCTAAAGCATGGAGTGCAGTGACCAGATTCTCAGTCTGTGGTCTCCTTGGCGTCCGCACCTCCGGGATGGGCGGGGGTGGGGATTTTCAGGCACTGGGTCCTCCCAGGATTAGGGGCGTCCTGGGGTGTGTCCTCAGAGGGTGCTGGGACAAATGCTCTTTCTTCCTTGCAGCAGGCAAGGACAGGGTCCACAGTGTCATCTACCACCTCTGCCCCAAGTGCCGCCCTGTCCCCTTGACCAGCCACGCCTCCCACCTTCCTGTTCTCCCCTGGAGATGGGGACAGGGAGGGACAGGCACGCACCTCCCTGTGGGGCAGGATCCAGGAGCTCCACGAGGTCCCTCCCTCCTCCCAGCGGTTGGAAGCTGGCCCCGGGGCCACAGCTCTCACGGAGGCTGGACAGAAGTGAGCGTGGCTTCCGAGAGCCCTGCTGAGACTCTGGAGCTAACGGGAGGGAGCATGGATGCTTGGGGTGATTCTTAGGCTCTGTCCACTTCTGATCTGCTCCCTGCAGCCTGCTGTTGAGCTACTGTACCAGACAGGCTTTGAACCCCTTTTCTGCAGTGTGTTCCCTAACCCTGGCTTGAGCTCTGACCCCAACCCTAAGCCTAACGCTTTCTGCCTCCTCCAGAGCCCGGAACTCAGCTCCAAATGGCTTCCTAGCTCCCCAGTGCTCCACGCCCCCTCCAGACCTAACCTCTCCTACCTCCCTGCAAGCAGCACCTCCCTGATGCGAAGGCCGGGGGGCTTGAGGGACAGGTGAGGACGGGCAGGGTGAGGGTCCTGAGCTGTGCTGCCCTGGCCACCTCGACATCTGACTCGAGGCAAAGCGGTGCCCTTTCGTGGTCATCCTGACTGGGGACGGGCCGGGACTCCCACAGTGTCAGACCCTGTGAATGAGGTGGCCTAGGACCAGCACCAGTTCCTATGAGCGCCCTTCTATTGGCTGGGGCTCAGCTTTGGCATTCGCTGTGGCTCTGATCACACCTTGTGGAGACTCTCGTGAGAGTGGACACCCAGGCCTGCTCCAAGAGTGGCAGGGACGATGAATTAGCCTGTGACGCGTGAGAGAGGGATATGAGGACGAGTAGTGTCTTACTGTAATGAATTTCAGAAACTTACATGCTCGCCAGGCTTTACCTCATTCTGCACTTGTCCCGGTGCGCACAGGGCAGTGACGGGGCCTCACATTTCCGTGTGTTGTTCTGTTTTATCTCCTGCACCTGCCCCTGGCGTGTGGCCCCAGGCAGCCAGGCCCGGCCCCTGTTCACTGAGGAGCCTCGAGTCTGGAGCATGAGGACAAAACTCTCTTGCTCAGCTCCCTGCCAGCCAGAGCCACAGACCCACCCACGACCTCCCTGTGTCTGCCCACCCATCCTGGTCTCCCTGCAGCCAGGACACCCACCCTGGACAGCTGCCCAGTGGCCCACTGCAGACTGCGAGAACCCACCGTACGTGGAGGGGCTTGTTAGGTTGCAGTCACAGTCTCTGTCCTAGAGCCTCCCCTTGGGGTGTGGCGGCCTATGGGGTGCTCCCAAGAAGTTCAGCTTGCACGTGCAGAGGGTGGGGAGGGAGAGTCCTGTGGAGTTGGCTCCTGGGATGGTGCAGGCTGGCAAGTCCACTCTGCAGGGCAGGTGGCAGGTGGGGGACCCCGAAGGTCCGTGCTGCCATCCATGTCTGCAGGCTGTGTGCGGCCCATCCCCTCCTGCCTGGTGTGCACAAGTCTGGCACTGCTTCACCTGATTGGACGCCACCCAGCCTCTTGAGTGATGGTATGTGCTTTACTCAGAAAGTCCTGGAGACTCCGAGAGCATGACTGGCTGCTCCTCTGACCACCACAGCCCAGCAAGGGACCCAGGAGCCAACCACCGCCTCGTAGGAGCTTGTTCCCGAGGGGAGGTGCTGGGCCTCTGTCAGTAACCACGGCACCAAGAATGCCCTGCGTGGAGCGTGGAGGGAGGGCGGGAGGCGAGCTGTGACAGAGGCTGTGAGGACACGGGGACACAGGGGGGTGGGCTCCCACGCGGTCCACAGCCTCCTCCCCCTCGTTTGGTAACCACCGGGCATCCTGCCACTGGGTCTGTTTGGAAGCAATAGATAAACGTCAGCACTTCTGAGCTGTGAGAGCCCTAACTGTCCCCCCTGGACTAATAAACATAAAAAAAAAAACCCTGATTCAGGCTGCCTGGCAGCTCGGGAGAGCAGGAAATAAAGTTTCCCTCCAGGACATTTATAATTTACATAATAAAAAGCCTTTCACCTTCCAGGCAAGGAGCAGAATTAATCACCGAGGTCCCCGTATTTTCTGCCTACACTGACAAGGAACTCACCCTAACTCTGTCCACAGGGCCTGTGTGGGCCTTGGGCCGCAGACACCGCTGTGACCTGCCTGTCCTTAGCAATGCGCTCTCCATAATGGGCCCCATGGCCCAGGCCTAATCACCCAGCCTTAGACAGATGTTGAATGGGCCCCTGGCCAGTCCCCGTCCTTCTGGGCACCATTCAAACGCAAATGGAGACGCTGTATCCTGAGCCCGTGGTTCTGAAGATGGTGGGTGCCCAAGCCCTTGGATGTCCACGTGGGGCTCGGATCTAAGGTCACTGGCGACATTGGCCCCGTGCATCCTTCCCACTGCCCCAGGAAGCAGTGGCCTCTCCCTCCGCCCCGCTGGGCAGAGGGAGAGAGGCACAGGGAGGTAGGCTGCATTCCAGGCGTGCGGGTGAGCTGGGTTGGAACTGGGCCACAGGTGCCAGTGTCACAGGGTCCCCGTTTGGGCAGTGGGTGCAGGCGGGGCAGAGCTGGCTTCCTACAGGGGACGCGATGGCTTTGTGGTGTGCTCTTGGCGGGCAGCATGTTTCCTGAATGTTTATTCCCTCATCTGAAGCCACTTCAGGGACAATCCACCATCTTGGGCACTGAGCTGAAGGTCAGCCCATGGTACACTGTTTTTCTGTGTGTTCTGAGGTCACTCCTGTAGCTCTGCTCCACTGAGCGCTTGTCTTTATAATTCCGTATTTGTATTTGCTTCATAGTATTTAATAAGTGGTAGGGCTGGTTTACCAGTGCTCATGTTCCTGAAAGATTCCTAGGGGTTCTGTTTGGAATTGCATCGAGTTATTCCATTCAGTGGGTAGAAAGCCTGCCCCAGTAACTCTCCCATTATGTTCTTCAGGAAACAACCAAGATTCCTCATTCAGGGTTTGTATGTCTGGCAAGCATATTTATAATGCTTTTGCTGTTACATAGAGGATATATTTACACTTTCTACCACTCTGTTTGCAGGGCATGCTGACTGGGGTATGGGTACACAGCATACCTTCATTCTCTTTATGTCCCTCCCACTCCCTCCAGCTTTGGTCTCCTTCCTGACTACAAAAGATCTAACTGCCTGTTTCCTGTTGTCTGTCTTTAATTTTGTGTTTTGAGATTATTTGTACTCTGGGTTCTTATATAAAAGAAACCATGCAACACTTAAAGTTGTGTGTCTGATCTATTTCGCTTCATATTATGGTCTCCAGGTGCCTCCCTTTCCTTCAGATGACTCAAGCTTAGCCTTCTTTATGGCTGGGCAGTGCTCCACTCATCAGGAGAGACAGAGTTTCTGACATAGCAAAGACTACAGAAGGAAACAACAAAGGACAGCTGGTGACAACTGTCTTCATTTCCCTTAAGCCTAGGCTCCTGACTTGGATACAGAGCATACGGGGAGGCTCCAGAGGTCGCTTGCTGTTATGCAAAGTTCCAGGCTTTGAGTAGAGAGCAGCCCGAGGGCCGTCAGCTGTGACCCCACACTGCTGCGTTGCTCCAAGTGGCCCTGCCTCTGGGTCCCCTGGGTGGCAGCTGTTGCCCTTCTGGGCTCTGCCCTGTGCAGGTGAGGTGAGGTTAAAGGCTCCCCAGGACCAGTTTTTGGGGAAAGAGGGCAAAAAGGTCAGTGCCGCTGGTGGAGTAGGAAACCACATCTCCCTGCTGACTCTGGGATTCCTTGCCTGGTAGCAGCGGGAGGCTCTAGCCGGAGAGGCACGGGATTGGGGAACAGGAGATGAAGCTTGGAGGCTGGAAGTGTCCTTTGCTGTCTGTAGGGCGGACACACCGTCCCTCAACCTTCGCAGAGGGGTCCGGCCAGTGTGCAGGGACCACGGGGGGGGGGGCAGGCGAGTCATTCCGCCCCTCTGTGACCCAGAGCCCCTCCCTGGAAACGGACATACAGAAGCTTTGAGCAGGGCAGGCACTCTCCAGAGTGCGTTTCAGACCGCTGCCCGCCTGTGGGAACTGGGCTGCCTCACAGGCCGGGCTCTGCAGGCGCTCAGTGGGGAACTAGACCGGAAACCTTTAGGGGGTGGCTCTCTGCATCCTCTGGGACCCAGATGGGAAGCGGTGGCTTCCTCTGGTGTCCTTAACGAAGGTGAGGACAAGGGCAGGAAGCTGTGGGCTCTTCACTAGAGGCCTAGAAGACATCCCTGTGGACACCTTGGTGGCAGTCCATGAAAATAGATGTGTGTTCAGGAAAGTTCCAACTAGAACGATGAGTTTTGCCCTAGAGTCTTAGCTAAGGCGAAGCATGGGCCGTGACTTCCTCCAGGGAAACCTCTCCTGTAGCTGCCTCCCTCAGCAGCAGCACAGCTGGGGCCACAGTCAGGACAACCCGGCCAGAGGATTTCCCTTCCTCCCACGGAATACCTTCAGAGCGTTTCCACACCAGCTAAAGGAATTCTTTCTTTCCAGTAATGGACTGCTCTTCATGACTCTGTTTCTTCTCCCTCTTTCAGATTCTCGTTCACATTTCCAAAGTTGCTTTGTTCAGCTTTGCAAGTTAACAATTCATGGATGAGAGCTGCAGATCTGGTCCCTCCTGACAGTGAACAGCAAGGTTGGGTCAGGGAGGGCAGAGGAGGAGGTGATGATCAGCCATCCGGAGTGGTAGGAGTGGAATTCAGATGTCGCAGAGGTTCCCGCCCAGCCAGGCTCCTGGAGGGGAGGGGAGGCTGCGTGTAAGGAGTTGATGTTCTTTCCTTGTATAAATTTTAAGTCAGATTTGGCTGTGGATTTCTGGCAATGCCGGCTCTGTGCTGGAAAGTGGAGACTTCTTGCTGCTACTTTTAGCTTTCACCATTCTGCTGAGACGACTTCTCAGGCTCAGTGTGACAATGAAATGCGAATCTCAGTGCGGAGCGCTGGCCTCCGGGAGCCGGGGTCCTGGACTGGCTCCAAGGTCTGCAGTGCAGGGAGAGACGCATCTCTCTGTCGCACAGTGCAGTAGGTTCCCCCGAGGGTTCCAGCGACTCGAGGGACGTGATCGGGAGGGGCGGCAGAGTGAGAGTGGAAACCATTCCCACCTTCTCCTCTCCTGAGAAAGCCCAACACCAACAATGCTGCGTGAGTGTGAACACAAAGCCACAGGCCTCGCTGCCTCTGCACACGTGGTCCTCCAACCGTGGCTGAGACCCTGGCAGCAGGCCGTGTCGGGCTCTGCGCCTGTGTGACAAACGTGGGCATGTGTATTTGTCTCGCCCTCGGACCTGACCTGGGGAGATTATTTCTCAAGGACTGCATTCAGGAAAATGTAGGATCTGTTCCCCAAGCACTTTCCCTCTGAATATTTAAACCCATGGGTATTCCCAGGGAAGTGTAACCCACATGTTCCTGATTCATTTGCGCTTAATTATTAAAGTGTTGTTTTGTAACAGTCATTTGATGTCCAAAGAGCTTTATGAGGGTTCTTTTTTTAATTTTTAATGAACTTTGTTATTTGAAACAGGTTATCGCTCATGCCCAGTAGCCACACGGAACTCAGAAGCTGTCAGCCAGGATCTGAACTTGCAACCTGAGAGGTGGATGGTGGTGGGACATGCTGGTGGGCAGGAGCTGAGGACCTGGGCGGCAGAGCCAGGACATCCCTCCCTCATCTTCAGTGTCCCGCTGGAAGTGGAGGAAAGCGAGGCCCAGCACGCGCAGTCCCGGGGGGCTTCACCATCCATCTGCTGTGGTCCCGTGGGGCTCTACTCCAGCCCCTCTCACCGGTTGCTAGGCTTCCATGGACTGAGCTCTGGTGGAATGATTGTAACTGATCCCGAAGCTTGCACAGTGCATGGTGACCAAACACGGTGGCTCCGCTGGCTCCATCTGGTACTGACCGCCTCACAGGGTCAGATGAGGGCTGGATCCCGCTGGCCAGCCGGGCCTGGGGGGCCCTGAGCTGGGCTTTGAGGTTGGGGTTGGCGAAACTCTGCACAGCCAGCCCAGGAGCAGAGCCTGACGCCCTCTGCAGGGAAGGCCAAGGTGGCAGCCCCACAGCCTCCAGTCAGTTCTCGGCTGGGCAGCATGCAGCCTCCATCTCCCACCAGCTCTGCTATTCTGGAGCAGGAGTGCTTCCGGCATGGTGGGTGCCACAGCCTAGAGAATTTCCTGCCTGGGCAGAAAGCTCGGGACACTGACACTGTCTGCTGGCTTGGGTGGGGGAGAAAGCCTATGTTCAAATGTGACCGTAAGTGTGACAAAGGCCATTTCTGGGCTGGTTGAGTTTAAAGGAGACATTTCTATGGTTTGTAAAGTCTGATCCATGTTGCTGAATCATTTATGTTTAATATGTACATTTACACATAAGTATATGTTGCCTTTTCAATGTTTTCAGAAAACAGTGCTTTGAAGCCAGGATAGCAATTTGATTGAGACTTGCTATAGTCAAAAATAAAATAATTACAGGATGATTTCAATGTGCTGGCCTGGAGTGCATGCTTGTGACTCCTGTCCGAGGTCTCTGATCGGGGTGCAACATGCATTTCACTGTCATGACCTTGGTTGATTTTTGTCTGAACCTGTGCAAGTGAGTTAGCAGAAATCAGCCAAGTAGAGTCCCCGGAGAGGTGGGGGGTTGTGTTTGTGTTTTTGCTGCCAGTACAGGGCTTACATGGAAAGAGAGAAGAGCAGGCATTTGTGCCGCACTTTCTGGCAGGGAATCTGTACTTCAGGTGTGGAAATTCCAGTTCCTGCCCCTTGCCTTGAGCTGTTGTGTGGGCAGAGGAGCTGTGGCTTGGGAATGTGGACGGATGGTGATGTCAGCCACCGGGAGGCAGGGGAGAAGCAGAGGGGCCAGGGCAGAGACAAAGCTGTCACTGGGCAGGGAAAGGCATCTTGGGAAAATATGAAGTGCTGCTGAAGGGAAGCAAAGCAGAAACTGCGCCGGGGTAGAAGCCGGTTCATAGAAGAGCTTGCTCACCACAGGACACCAGCCCCACGATGCAGGGCTCAGTGCTACCCTTGCGGGTCTGGGCAGGAGTGTGTGCTGAGTGGAGGTGGGCTGGGGGAGCCAGGCCCACAGGAGACCGAACTGTGGATGGCAGGGCTGCAGGCCAGAGTCTGCAGGGAGCTGCAGACAGGGTGATGGGGCCAGGGAGGGTGGGGGAGCCCTGCGTGGCTGCATGTGGAATGCAGGTGTCCCCAGACCTCTAGGGACATGCACAGGGCCAGCACTTCTCTGTGTCTTGGGCCATGGTGAGTGTCATGGTGGGGTCATGGTGATGACGCCTTGTGGGTCTCAGACAGCCCCGTCTGGGTCCTGAGAGGTCGGGGTGCAGAAGCAGTGAGGGGAGTGAGGAGATGGAGACCTTCAGCTCCAGGCTTGAAGTTCAGAGAAACGAAAACAAGAAGTCTGACTGGAGCCCCTAGGAATCACGGGGGCTCCTCGGAGGAGATCAGATTGCGGGTTCAGGGTTGTCAGTCCTGTCTTCGGGTCCTGACAAAGCACCACAGGAACCTGCTTTCCGTCAGCTCTGGAAGCTGGAGGCCCAAGATCAGGAGGTTGGCAGATCAGGGCTCTCCTGAGCCTCTTCCTGGCATGCAGATGGCCATGGACCCTCCTCTGTGTCCTCTACAACTGTGTGTGTGTGTGTGTGTGTGTGTGTGTGTGTGTCTGGTATCTCTTCCTCTCCCTCTGAGGACACGGGCTCTGTGGGCTTGGAGTGGCACCCAATGACCACGTTTAAGGGTCAGGAGCTCCCCAGGCCCGTCTGGCAGTCTGGTCGCCCTAGGGCTTCAGATGGTCCAGACCATACTAGGGCTCAACTGTCCCTTCTCAGGGTAAAGTGGATGTCAGCATTGCGGGGCATCTCTGTGGCTTCTGAAGCCACCAGAGTTCTTCTCTTGCATGGGAGCATTGTGTCCTCTGACCTCTGCTCCCCTTGCTGCGGTGTTGTTGGCGTACAGGGAGAGACACAGCTTGGCCTGTGGGGGTAGAGCTGGCAGCAGGCTGTGCAGGAGGAAGCCGCCAGCCTGTGTCTTTGTCCACTTAGCTTTAAAGGCAAGCTATACCCTGGAAACAGGGAACTTCTACTGCCAAATGCTTATGCAAAGCACCAAGAGTGCCAGTCCTTGCCACTTGTGGCAGCACTCTTGGAGGAGTCTACTCCCGACAGTACTGAGTCTCACCCCAGGAATTCAGGGTTGGGTGCAGTAGGACTCTCAGAGAAACTAGCTCTTTGTTTGCTAACGAGCTACCACAAAGCAGAGGAGCTGAACCAGCGGGCAGAGGCGGGAAGAGCCCAGGTCTGTAGGGCAGGTGCTGCGGGTGGGTGGGCTCTGCCTGGACATCGGGGCTTCCGCCCCTTGACCTCCACCTGGGCTCTGGCCTGTGTTTAATCAGCCTGTGGACGAGTGTGCAGTGAGCAGCTACTCCATGCTCAGCAGCAACAGGAAGGCCAGACTTTCTCCCGGCACTGGCACAGCCCAGACATCGGGACACCAGGGCAGTCAGGGCCACATGAGCAGTGACAAGTCTGCTGGCTTCCAGAGCCAGCTTGGCTTCCTCAGTGTCTCTTGAGGGGCTTTGGGGTTGGTTCTGGAGTAATGTTTCCGGTCGTCTTCACCAGGGTGCTGACGGGGGCTCTGGAAGCCCTGTGTGTGGTCCTCTACGCCAAGCACGACTCTTCTCCTCAGCAAATCAGAGGAAAATTGTATTTTGTGTTTTTCCTTCTATGATAGTGAACTTTTTTGGTGTTTAAATAAACACATGAGAATTTTATAATATAGGGACCAAGAAAATCTTTGGGCGCAAGGCCCAGCTCTGAATCTGCCTAGCGTGTGACCGTGAGAGAACCGTTTAGCTTCTCTGTCTTACTTCTCCAACCGTGAAATGGAGATGAAGATCTGTTTAGACCCAGGGTTGCTGAGATCATCTGACAGCATTTCACAGAAAATGCCAGTGTGCAGCTTGGCACATAGCAAGTGCCAATAAGGATCAGCCATTATCGCTGTTGATGTGATCCGGACTTTCAGGTGATGGCATTACTGTGTGTAGGACTACTTTCTAAAGAAGGAAGTGACATCAACAAGAAGTTGCTGGGCAGAGCTCCCTGGGCCTTGCTGCATGACAGCCCAGGGACAGAGCACAGACGGAGGCTGTCCCCCAGGTCCTCCAGGAGGTTCCCTGTGGTTGGGAGCCCGGGTTAGCATCGAGCCTGAGGTGAACTGTGTTGACTCTTCTTATGCATAATTGCTTCTGGCAAAGCCTAACTTGTAAGTTAGCCACAGGACGAGATTAACAACAGTGGCTACTAATGAAATGGGAAGGTGCCGCCGTGTATTTTAATAAAGGTCACGTGGTTGTGGTCTCCATCATACAGTCTCTTGGAGTCCACCACTCCGTGACTGTGTGAGACAGGGTGGTGCCATCTGCAAAGAGATGAGCCATGAAGGACAGCAAGGACATGGTTCTCCACAACACGAGCCCCTGCTGCTGTTCCTGAGAAGGGGATCTGATGCCGAGGGTCCACTGCATGACCGACGCGTGGCAGCAGACGTGGGAATGGCGCAGGACAGTGCTGCACACGCCCCACTGCAGTGTGGAGCTCAGGAATGGCTTATTCCTGAAACTTTCCACGTTGTATTTTCAGATCACAGTGAACCATACATAGGCACAGAGGGTCTGTCACCCAACCCAAAGGGACCCCAGTTAAAGACAAAATACTGAATTAGTTCTTTATGCAAAGCATGGTGATGCCTCTGGCCAGTCGCAGCTCCCACAGGGAGCCCGTCAGTCAGCGGGCTCTTTGGGGTACTCCGTGTGGCACACTGGTCCAGACAGCCGTGCTATGGATGCAGGTGTGGTGCAGGCCCAAAGACGCTGGAACAGTGCAGGCCAGCTCTGCGGTGCACACAGTAGGACGAGCACAAGCGTGAGGCAGTCCCTGCGGGGAAGGAAGCTACTTCATCTTTCCACTTCAGTTCCTGCCTCTGCCAGGGTGGTGTTCTCAGCGCTTCTGAGCTGAAGGCCACATGGGGGCTGGCACAGAGTGGACACGCGGCAACATTTGCCGAGCCAAGGTGCGTGGAAGGAGACAGCGAGGTGCGCACAGCTACACTGTCGAATGGGTCGGCCCCTGGGATGTCGACTGACTCTGAGCCTTGCCTTACAGGGACCGTTCGACCCCAAACATTCCTTGCTGAGAGCTTCAGGAGGTCCCGAAGTTCCTCCGAGGTGGACGTCCCCAGTGGTCCTCTCACGAGGTCGCCTGATGCAGCTCACCCAGGAGGGAGGGGAAGACACGTCCCCGGCCTGTGGTGTGCGAACTCCTCCTCAGAGCCATCTCCAGCCTGGGTCGTTGCTCTGCCAGGACGCCAGACTAGGGGCAGGGGCAGGGGCAGAAGAGCTGCTTGGGGCCGGGGAGTGCCCTGTGTGCTGTCTGGCCCGAGCCCACTCGCTCCCTCGGGTTGCTGTGCCAGGCTCCAGACCTTTCGCAGAGCTCTGTCTTCTCCGTACCTCGTTCCCTGCTCAGCGGGGCCCCAGCCACAGCGGCTGTCTGTCTCTTGTTTGGCCTTTCATTTCAGTGGGTCTTTGCCAGGGATGATAGTTCATAAAAATGACTGAATAACAATAATAAAACAAAGTGGGTTGTCTTTCCACGCAGTAGTGATTCTTTGCTGTTGTAACTCTTCAGAACTGACAGCTAAGAACTGAAGGAATCAAAATTAATTTCTGGGTTACCCTGCAGTGGCTTCCACCCCAGCGCTCCCAGGGGGAATGCGCACTCTGGACAGCAGGGGGCAGTGTTCATCTGCAGATAACAGCGCCAGCGAGGGCGTGCAGCTCCCAGCCGGGGAGCAGAGCCCAGCCTTCCAACAGATTTCCCGTTGGGTTGGACATCTCCTGGTTTGCTAGGTCTACATTTGCTCTGAGTCCTGCCATCAAAACAAAAGCACTTTCTTAGAACAGGACGTGCAGCGTGGGGCTCATCGTGAGTAACGCTTTCAGCCTTCGGGGGCCTGGGGGGGGTGTCACACAGCAACCGGAAGCCCCCCTCCTTCCAGTGTTGGAAGAACAGCCAGGTTGCCTTTCTGTTTCGGTTTGGTTTGTTTGACTGAGAAGGGACAAACCCTCAAGGTGCCACCCTGGGCAGGTCCTCTGTTCCTCCAGAGAGCAACAGCCAGCTCCGGGAGAGGATCAGGTGCCCACGTCTGGTGACTGGAAGGAAGGCCCTGCGTGTGCAAGGCGACTTGCAGCCAGCTGCATCGTACACCCTCGGCACAGAAAACCTCTGTGCAAGTGACACGCAGGTGTGTGGGCCTCCTGCAGTTGGGGCGCTGCGGGGTGCAGAGTGGGTGAGGGGGACAGGCCCTGTGCTCCGCAGAAGCCCCAGGAGCGCAAGAGGCCCCTGCTTCAGGATGAACTTGCTTCAAGCTACAGTCTCACTCTACTGCAATGA